CAGATGTCCAGGTGGAGGGTGTCGTAACTGATGTCATCTATATCACTGTTGAGGAAGAGAGAAAAGAAAAGGCATTATTATGTGACATCCAGCAGAACATACATACATACATACATACACTACTTACTGTACATACATACATACATACAAACATACACTACTTACGATACATACATACATACAACTTCACTGTACATACATACATACATACATACATACATACATACATACATCCTTGACCACCGAAGGGTCAAGACGTACCTGGCGCTCCTCTCCGGAGCAGCCAGGTCAACCTAAGTTGACCCCATACCAACCCCTCCCTGAACCCTCCTCCCCACCGGAATATCAACAAGTTCTCGCCAGAAGTTACAATTTCATTTAGGAAAGGAACGGAACCAGTGTTAAACAGAGGTGAACAGTGGTGAACAGTGTCAAGTCAGTGAGAACAACTCAACAGTAACAGTCGTACCCAAGTTAACCTTCACACAGTGAGGTCCCAGGTACCCAGTGATAACGCGTGAGACCCAACAACCAGCGATGTGTTAATCCGTCTACGATAAGGCCTAAGACCAAACCTCACTCATATAACACCATCTGTGAGGAATTACTACACCACATGAAGTCCCTCATAACACCATATGTGAGGAATTACTACACCACGTGAGTCCCTCATAACACCATCTGTGAGGAATTACTACTACACACGTCAGGCCCTCATAACACCATCTGTGAGGAATTACTACACACGTGATGCCTCATAACACCATCTGTGAGGTTACTACACCGTGAGGCCCTCATAACACCATCTGTGAGGTATTACTACACCACGTGAAGTCCCTCATAACACCATCTGTGAGGAATTACTACACCACGTGAGGCCCTCATAACACCATCTGTGAGAATTACTACACCACGTGAAGTCCTCATAACACCATCTGTGAGGAATTACTACACCACGTGAGTCCCTCATAACACCATCTGTGAGGATTACTACACCACGTCAGGCCCCTCATAACACCATCTATGAGGAATTACTACACCACATGATCCCCTCATAACACCATCTGTGAGGGAGTTACTACACCACGTGAGGCCCTCATAACACCATCTGTGAGGAATTGCTACACCACGTGAGGCCCTCATAACACCATCTGCAATTACTACACCACGCCAGGTCCCTCATAACACCATCTGGGGAACTACTACACCACGTGAGTTCCTCTAACACCATCTGGGAGGAGTTATTACACTACGAGTTTGCTGTTCAACACCTACATTAATCTGTATGTTCACTGTATGTTCCTTTACCTTCTAATGAAGGCTTTTGTTAAACCACCAATGTATGTTTCATTTATGTCCAATGTATATTAGCCTTCGGGCTGCAGAACTTTTCAATAAACCGTTAATTATTATTATTATTATTATTATTATTATTACACTACTTACTGTACATACATACATACATACATACATACATACATACACAATAATACTACTGTACATACATAACACACATGCATACACTACTTACTATACATACATACATACATACATACATACATACATACATACACTACACTTTACTGTACTTACATACATACATGCATACATACATACATACATACACACACTACTTACTGTACATACATACATGGATGATGGATTTGGCAATTGAATTAAATGAATGGTTACATTATTATTCAATCTCTATCTCTCTATCTCTCTCAAGATCTAGTCTGGGTCTCTCAGTCTCTAAACGTATAATCATCTCTCCCGCTCTATCTCTCTCAAGATCTAGTCTGGGTCTCTCAGTCTCTAACGCGTATAATTATCTCTCTCTACCTCTCTATCTCTCTCAGGATCTAGTCTGCCTCAGTCTCCAACACACTTATTTAGGGCATAGAATTACACTGCTAGATTCCAGTTATCTCCGCTCTCTATCTCTCTCTGAAGTCTCAGTCTCTATGTATCTTCAATTTCTCTCTGTCTCTATCTCTGTCAGTGTCTCGTGTGGTGTCTCTCAGTCTCCAGCACACATAATGGACCATGGGGGTATATGTATCAATCTCTTTTTCTGTCCTTACTAGTTATCTTTGTCTCTCTCGTTTATATTAATCAAATAATCTTGTAAACTACACCTAAAAAATTCTCACAATGTAAATAGAAATATATATATAAACTGTAAGACCGAAAACATTTTTATAACCACAAAATGAATTTTACGAAATGAATTTTCCCATAGATGGACGGTCTCGAAATTTAATCTAACCTAACCTAACCTAACTCAACCTAACAACCAAGTCTAATTGAACTTAATCTAATTAACCAAACAAAATTTACCCTAACCTAACCTAACTTATAGATAGATTTGCTTGTTATTTTGAAAACGTCCACAATGTGTGGCATTATTCGAACTTGGTTTCAACATCACACATACTATATATATATATATATATATATATATATAAATATATTTACACACTGAGGCTTTTTGTATTAATTCAATTTCCACAAAGGTCTTGTGTTAACTGCTTTCGTTAAAAATTGGAGGATTAAATCTATTACGCAGAGAATATGAGACGGTTTCTGCACACACACACACACACACACACACACACACACACACACACACACACACACACACACACACACACACACACACACACACACAGGAGAACAAAGATAACTCCATCACCCAAGCTTCTCGTTCCACCTGTTGAGGGTGAGGCTTGACGGAGGCCCTGATGATCTTGGCCGATGGCGTTACTAGCGAGTCCTCAGCCACCTTCCTTCGCTCAGTTGGTTTCTCAGCTCAGCCGGAAACTGTTGGAGGTATATGGAGTTGAGGTCGAGGTGGTTGGTGGGGGTGATCGGTGGGGTGAGGTGATGGGTAGGGGGTGAGGGGTGAGGGGGAGGGAGGGGTGGGGAGGGGGGGGAGGGGTGGGGGGAGGGGTGGGGGAGGTGGGGGATGAGGTGTGGTGGTTTGATGGTAGGGGGGTGATGATGGGGGAGGGTTGACAGAGATGGATGGGAAATAATGGTGACTTGTAATGAATGGGGTGGAGGTTGTTGAGAAGTGATGGTGGGAGGGGGAGAAGAGAGAGTGAGTGTTGGTGGTGAGTGGAGAGGTTAAGGATGGTGGTGAGTGGGGTTAGGTGGATGGTGGTGGAGGGAAGGTTAGTGATGGTGGTGAGTGGGGAGAGGTTAGTGATGGTTGAGTGGGGGGAGGGATTAGTGATGGGAGTGAGTATGGAGGATAATGGTAGAGGAGGGGACTTAGTGATGGTGGTGTGAGGGGGGCGAGATGGTAGGAGGGCAAGGGTAAGAGGGATATGATGGTGGTGAGTGTTAGTGATGGTGGTGAGGGGGTTAGTGATGGTGGAGTGGGGGTTAGTGATGGTATAGTTAGTGATGGTGGAGTAGGTAAGGATGGTTGTGGAGGAAGGATGGAGGAGTAAATAGATGGTGAGTGGGAGTTAGGAGGTGAGGGGGGTTAGTGATGGTGGTGAGTGGGTGGTTAGTGGTGGAGGAAGAAGATGGTGGAGAGTAAATAGTGGAGAGGTGAGGGATAGTAATGGTAGTGGTAGTGATGTGTAAGGATTGGGAGTATTGATGGTGAGGAGTAGAGGATGGTGGAGTGGGGGTTATTGAGAGGAGTGATAGGGAAGGAGGGGAAGAGGATAGGGTGATGGGATGGTGAGAGGAGGGGTTAGTGATGGTAGGAGGAAGAGATGGTGGGAGGGATAGTGATGGAGGAGGGGGAAGAAGGATGGTGAGGAAGTAGTGATGGTGGAGTAAAGGAGGTGGTTAGTGATGGTGGTGAATGGTGGGTATAGTGATGGTAGAGTAATAGTGATGGTGGTGAGGGGGTTAGAGAATGGTGGTGAGAGGAGGGGTAGGAGTGAATGGTAAGTAGGTGATTAGTGAGTGGGTGGTAAATGGTGGTGAATATTGATGGAGTGGGGAGGAGGAGCAGTATTAGTGGAGCTTACTTGATGTGGAGATAGAGTTTGAAGATTGGAAACACTGAGGAGGTGACAGTAACAGAGGAATCCAGCCAATGAAAACCTTTAGAGTGAAGGAACTTGATAAAGCTATTGGGCTGACGAACTGAAGGATGAGTGTCAGAGTGAGAGGCAAGTGACTGACATTTACTTTAGATGGACAGTTGATGGAGGAAGAGTTGATGGAATGGAAACAGGAAATAATCTGAATATAAACAACTTATGACTCCAGAATAGTTGAGGTGATGATGATGAGGATGATGGTGATGATGATGGTGATGGCACTACTCTCGGTGCCCCAATGGTGAATAATAACGTCACCATAACTACCTGATGAGACATCAGGAACCAGCGAGAAACTCCGACAACATAAGTACTTTTTACACTAATTACTTTGAGATAGTTAACAAGATACAATAATACTCAGTGAACAACATCATTAATACTAAAACAATACAGTAGGCTGCCAATTAGTAATCTTTACACGTTGCTACGCTACAGTATCAAAGTTGTACTAATTGCTAGTTAGAGTAAAGTAATTAGGGAAGTTAGACTAAGTGGGTGAGGGAGTGTGTGTCAGCTTCATCACCTATACAGTATAGGGTGAGGCCAGGTGCTGCTACAGAAAGCAGTTAGGTGAGGGTGAACACACCACCTACAGTCACCTTCAGGGGTGTGTGTGCATGTGTGTTTGTGGAACTGAGCAGTGGAGGGGGCTGTTGAAGGCTGTGTACACAAAGACTATATTATTTACAAAAATATTATTAAAAAAATTCTTCAGTAAGAACACTGGATGTGCTACATGCATGGTTGTTAGGGTTTATATTATATAAGGCCTAATTGATGGCACATCATCTAGGTAAAGGCTTGGGTGAACATTGCTAGATACTTGAAGGTTGAGAAGCGTGGATAACCTGCAAGAGACTTCAGGTTACTGCCTCCCATCCTGTGTGAGGGAGTGACAGAGGATGATACAAAACACACTCCTTACTGTCACACAACTGTTTATATATCACTAAAGATCAGTATTAGTTTGGCCTATCTGTACCTAAATTATTTTTGTGGACATTGTAGGTCCATGAAGGTGGTTTGTCAAGTTGTTATAAACCTGCTGAAGAAGACAGGATGAAGTCGGATACAAGATTTTACTGGATCTATGAGGAAAACATCAACACAGCCTCAGCTTATGGCATACTCCCTTGGACGGTTCGGTAGAGGACCAACACTTAACACTTTACACTACAACTACACTTAGAGAACACAACCATCTAATACAGTACTTGACAATAAACGTGATTGTTGTGTTGGGATATTAAAGAAAAGAGAAGACATGGATACAAGAATGAACTAAGTCATTGCGGACTCTTGATAAATTTAAAGACAGTTAATGAGAATAAGAGAGGTAGGAATGACACCCATAATGTAGATTGAAGTGAAAAAAAATATGAAGAAAAAATTATACCATGACACTTTACTGACAAACACTCGACACCTGCACAAGATGAAGCGTTTCCCTGTTAATTAATCTTGTCTCACCTCCTGTACAAACGTTCATAACAATAAACCAATACAACATACCACGACATCAATGTGTACAGCTGTTAAAAAAAATTCCCCCCGACCATTTTTGTCAATATCTGGTGTCATCTACTTGAGGGTCGTGTAGGCGAGAGAAACTGTGAGTAATAACCTCTTAACCACCTTGTTAGAGAAGGGTATTAGGTCAAGGCTAATTTATAATGTCGTTGCTGTCTCCCTTGGTTTAATATATTGATTATCTTAGTGGTTCTGTTCATCCACCTTGATCATTATTAGCGTTATAACCTGTAAATAATGAATGTATCAAGTGCGAGCTAGTGTTATGACGATGGTGGCTGAGACAACAAGTATGTTTATATTCTTAACTTAGTTCATGTATCATATAATATTGTCACCACACGGGGACACCATTATTCATGTATATATTTTGATGTATAAAACTATCTGAATCTGATTTTGACTGTAGACACTAAAGACTAAAGCCATATTGTTCGTGTTAACATTGTCTCCCATATTACAACATGTTAAATGAACTAACAAGAATACGTCAACAACAACCTCGTCAACACACAGTGACAACATCAGCTGGAAAAAGCGGAGGAATCAAACTGCGCAGAACAACAATTTACTACGTGCGACTATGCGCAGATATCTACTACTGACCTGTACGTACAACTTCTACTTGCGTCTACCCGTCAGATCTACACGAGTGACCAGGCCTCGCTAGGCTCACTCCCCACACTCCGCTCTGTCTTTATCACCATCAAGAATATATTCAAGTAATTTTTTGAAAACTAAAATGTTGATAACTCCGGCGTCCATATGAGTCTCGTGGCTGCAAGGAAAACCCTGAAATACCATGTGTGTAATATTTAATGTGTACAGGTGTTCTGTTGACGGCAAGTGAAGTATTATATTACTTTATATATTACAAGAGGACCTAAAGGATTGGGAAAACATTATTCTCCCATAAGAATTTCATTAATGTTTACATGTGACGTCACTTTTTGGATTGGATTCTCCGTAAGTAAGGAGAGGCGGCCGTGTACTGACACAAGGTACACCACACTTTACTCTGCTCGTTATTGCTGTAATCTTCAACTGGGAAGATAATGACAACAATGAAGTTTGAACATTAATTCATTTTCAGTGTCAGATGTACTGTAAGGTTACCTAAAACTACCTTGCCAGTTGACGGTTTAAATAATGCATGATAAATAATACTGAATACTGGTAAAGTTACTTGTTGTTTACTGGCTATACATTGACTAACATATACAGTACATCATTAACAGAGTGAATGTGTTCATGTTTATACTGTAGTGACGTGTAGCGGTATTATGATGACCTAAACTCTGGAAGTTTTATTTTTTTTTTTTTACGGGAATTAGCCTACCCGGGAAGTGTTATTGTCTGATTATTCTCTCTACAGATGACTAGCCCCAGCAGCGGGAGGTGAGGAGCGGACCCCAGCAATTAGCGTTACCTACCTGTGCAATCTACGCTACCTAGCGCGCTACAGTACCGGCGGTGCGGGGATGGGAGGGCCGGGCGAGCCACGTCACACTGGTGGAACAGCTTTTGATTTTCTTTAAAGTAAATAACACAATTCATAAAAGTAAACAAAAACAAACATACAAACGACTCAAATGTTTATGTATAACCACAATGTTTATTATTCATTCATCTACGAATTTAATTTATAGAAAAAAAAATGTATTATGAATGTCCAGGAGTAAAGTGACCCAGTGGTGGAATGATTTCCCTCACGTATGAATGACAGGAAAACATAAATGATTCATGAATGTCTAGAATGACTTCACTTGTCACCTTCCTACACTTTTCATAATTCAAGACCATTATTCGTTGTTCTTTTTAGTCTCCTCCTCCTCCTCCTCCTCCTCCTCCTTCCTGTTCTACTTCTTCATGTGTGTTTCATTAACCTGTCGTTTATTATGGTGATCATTGCTGATGTCTTTCTTCCCCATTACCGTTCCTATTCTTCTCTAATTACCCTTATCTCTCTCTCTCTCTCTCTCTCTCTCATCTGTTCTAACCTACATCTCCACCATGTTCCTTCTCTTCCTCTACAATTCTCTGGTCTTCCTCTAGTTCCCCATTCCTCTTTTCTTCGTGTCCATTACCACCACAAATAAATCTTTCTTTTTATGTGGAGGAAGGTGAGCTGACTCCACCCCACGCCCCTGTGTTACCTTGAGGATATTGTTTATTTATCCTGCGAATATTTTGTTATGATTCACGGTGTCCATCCTATATGTTGTGACCCTCAGTTAGTTCGCAGTCATCCAGTTATCCAGTCATTCATCTAGTTATCCAGTCAGTCATTCAGTCAACCAGTTATCCAGTCAGTTATCTAGTTATCCAGTCAGTCATCTAGCTATCCTGCCAGTCATTCAGTCATCCAGTTATCTGGTTATAAAATAAGTTATCTATTTATCCAGTCAGTCATCCATTTATTCAGTAAGTAATCCAGTTATCCATTTAGTTATCCAGTCAGTCATCCAGTCAGTCACTCAATCATTCGTCGGTTATCCAATTATCCAGTCAGTCATCCAGTTATCCAGTTAGTCATCCAATCATCCAGTCAGTTATACAGTCATCCAGTCAGTTATCCAGTTATCCAATCGTACAGTATGTCATCCAGTCATATCGCCAGTTATCCAGTCACTCATCGGGCTATCCAGTCACCCAGAGTTTTTACGTTAATATACAATTCGTACCGTAATTCCAATAAAACGAGGCATCAAATATTTCGTTTTTATTAGACGTACAAGTATTTTTGCCGGATTTCTTTGACTCAAAGTCGGATTTTTCATTCACGGATAAAAATATTTCACAGTCCCTTAGTGAAGACCCGTGTCAGTTCTCACACACACACACACACACACACACACACACACACACACACACACACACACACACACACACACACACACACACACACACACACACACACATATGACTCCTGACATGACTACCTGAATGAAATGATCGCACTGGTTTACTTTCTCTTACTCATGACTTCCAGAGTGACGTGACCTGTGGCCAGTGTGACGTGACCTGTGATCCGTATGACGTGATCTCCTGCCCCCCCAACACCTGGGAGTGGGGTAGGTGATGGTGGTGGTGGTGGTGGTGGTGGCGGGAGGGGGGTCGTGACCTCACCGCCCTTGTCTTACCTGGGTCGTTTCTTTAACCTCTCTCTCGGACTATCCAGCTTAGCGTCGGGAGTCTTAAGACAGTCCAAATTCAACCTTGCCATGCTTAAGGAGAGACAAATGCATGTCTTAAGGGATAAAGTGAAGGAAGAATAAAGAAAAGAAAACAGATGAACTGACAAAACCCAAAGTTCTGAAAAATTCTTCCGTTTTGGGGTGTACAAAATTGTGTATTTCTCGTAGGGTAAAAACAGTAAGGTTCATATCTATGTAAAAACACGTATGTTCACTTCTTTATCTTGATACTGAACAAAATTCTTAAACAAAAATGAAAGGAAGTAAATGGGAAAGTCATTGTGTTAAATGTGAAAATAACTTCTGGTTAAGGTTGCATTCAGGGTGTAGAGAGACACTTATGACGTCACATCTATAAACAAACACGTCATATCTATGTAAAACACCCAAGAAGTTCACCCGTCTATTCCGAAATTGATAAAGCAAAAACAAACAAAAACACAACTCTTAAGAGGTGGAGGCGAAAAATACAAGTGAGAAATATAATAATTCAGTTTCTAAATCCAGTTCTGGAAAAGAAGGTGGATTCTGGATGTCCAAAATTGTGTTAGGAGGAAACATTAATGACGTCATACATACGTAAGAACACCTAAGTCGAGTATTTTCATCTTTAAGTGAATACATAAATGCTTTAAAGGGGAGTGGAAGACAATAAGGGAGAAAGATAAAATACCAAAAGTTAGTTATGAAAAATGTTGCATATAGGATAAGAAACACCGTGTACACTCTCCTAGGTATAAAGAGATAAGTTCACCTTTAAGTCAAATCACGGAAGTTCATATGTTCAACTGGACACTAAACAAAAGTAAGTATTAAAAGAAGAACTGCAAGAAAGACACACACAAGCTAAATGACAAAATGCAGTTCTGAGAAAATATTGGACTGGGAACTATAATACTGTAGAGAATTTCTTTAAAAAAGCTGCAAGATGGAATGTTCACTTGTTCATCTCGATAACGAAGAACTACAACTCTTAGTGAATAAAGAACGAGAAAAATATGTTAAATCGTCAAATCCCTTTCTGAAGAAATATTTGTTTCAGATTACTTAACCAATACACTTATATCTTGTAGGTGGACTTGTGAACACTAAGGTAAAATTCGACTTATCAAAATATTAGATTGAGGTCACATATTTTGTAGTTGGTCTAGAGGAAAAAAAAGTTCAATTATATTTAGAGATTTGATAATTATTTGTGTATTTTGTTATGAGTGATTATGTAATTTTAAAGTTCATATTTAAACTGAAGGTCTGATAAAAATATGAAAAGAAAGATATAGGTGAAAAAAAATGAAGTTTTCTTTTAAGACAAACTAATATGATTATCACAATGTGTAAAAAGTTCGTAATTATAACAGTTTATATGTTGTAATTTCATGTATAAGATAATTTTATATTTAGTAAGTTTATATGGATGTTGAAGACACTTTATAAGTTCATTAATATATTCTAAAAGTGAACTTGTGAGTACGAAGGATCAAACCCACTTAACGAAAACACAGAACATTATAAGTAAGCATTCTTTGTTAGTCGTCAGTCAAGAGAAAGTTCAGGGTGACATCTACGAAACAATAAGTTCACTTGTGTTATAAAAGTGAACTTGTGAACACTAGAGACCAGTATTAAGGGAGTATCAATGTACAAAAGTTCACATTTAACCTGAACTTGTGAACTCTATGGGAAAATGTTTAAGGAATATTAATGTAAAAAGGTTCACATACAATACAAATTGAAAATGAACTTGTGAACTCCAAGGGAAAAAAATAGTAAAAGCGAACATCTAAGTAAACAACACTTACTCGAACATCTAACACATATTTTAGGTAAAACCAGACTTGTGATTACGATTTACATCTTTGTACAAGAACACATGACACATAGTTGTACATCTGGAAAGTAAACTCATTGGACACATAAGTGGCAATAAAGAGGAACAATGAGGTGAGTGAGTGAGTGAGTGAATGAGTGAGTAAGTGAGTGAATAGCGTGAATGTGTGAGTGAGTGGCAGCTCCTACCAGCCAGTGAACACTAAGCTTTAAGGCCTTTGGACATACAAAGATACAGAACCAGTCATTTTGGACACCACACATAGTAAGCAGGACATAAACCCCTCCTTAAGCGCTTGGTCAGAGTGTCCTATGTGTGTATCGACGTCTGTAATAGTTGTAGACAAAAAGCTTCGAGGACACTCAGGTTCGAAACTGTGTCAAAGGTATTTTTGTTCGTGGCTGTACATGTTCTATGGTGTAATAGGAGTAAGGTCCAGGGAATAACAGGTACACGTGTCCTGACTCCTGGGAGATCTGATTTTAATGAGTTACATCACAGAGGAGTTCGAAGTTGGCACGTATATACTGTGTGTGTATATATATGTCTTGAATAAAGACGAAAGCTAAGGTGTTCCATTGTTTCCCTTTTCCCTGTGTGATTTTATCAAGATTTAACTTATCCACGTTTTCAGTGTGGATCTACATGATATATATATATATATATATATATATATATATATATATAATGTGGGCTACAGCAGAGGACACCATCAATCAGGAGGGAGGAGAAAAGGTTGGAGAGGAAACAGTAATTTTGAGAGAAAGTGATAAATGACCTCAACGACAGATGTTGCTGTGTCTGTAAAGTATTATAGTGATTCAGTGTCCCCGTTTACTCTACCTTAACTCTGTGGACAAACACAATTTCTGAGTCTGAAAGTCAGTGACCAAAATAACTCTCGTAATCAGGTTATAGTGCGTGGTGAGGGTGAGCCCAGACGCAGAGTACACTGTACACGGCCGAGAGTCTGTACAGGTCACGGCGCCTCAGCACGCCAAGGGATCATAACTCATTACTGACAGAAAACATACTGAAATCGTCTGAGATGTATTTGTGACATATCTATAGTCTACGTCGAGTTAAAATCCAATTATATTTGTTCCAAATTATCGTGTTGATAACGCCAGAAAAGACACACAGACACCATGTATCTGTATGTTCCCTCTTGGTGCTGCTGGGAATAATAAGCTCTTACCTCTGTGAACACTTTGTATATTATTATCCACGAGACAAATTTATCCCCATATTAAGTTATCTTACATTAATTTAATAAACTTTGATAATCACGTTATATCAAGGATGTCGGGGGCAAATCGCGTCATAACATGATCACACACGAAGGACGTGAGACGTGTTCAGGGTATATACTTATGTGAGGGTACAACAGGTGATGTATGTGTTTAGTGCAGCTAACATACTATCTTGGGTTACGGGAAGGCGGTGTTTGTGTCCCTCTCGTGGGTCAGCCTCGTCAGGTGAGTGTTTACTATCGTGGGAGATGGACGCCTAAGATTGTGTTTTTGTTTGGATGAACGTTGAGTTGTGATTCATCAACTCCTTCCCAAATACAGTTAATGATTTATATCTTCACATAAGGATGATATAACACACCTCTAACCTAACTATGAGACGAAAAGACACACAACAACGCACCATCTCACACAACTATATACCCCCATGGTGTGACATACTGCCTCTCTGTCATCACTTACTGAACCTCGACATGATGGAGAACATTTGGGTTAGGTAAACACTTCAATTACCTTCGACCGATGTCTTCAAAAGAGTTAAATGGGATAGGATGCTTCAGAGTTTGTGAGGGCGGTGATCAGAGTGAACCGCGAGTCAAGGTGCACTTCTTAGGTGGATCAACACGCTGATAGTGACTAATTAGACGTGTGTATCGTAGAAGTGTGTGTCCCAGACGATATTAAGAAGTCCTTGTAGAGTGGAAGGATTAAATCTAGTTCCTAAATTAGTCTATACTCTACACGAAGAGGGTAATTCAAAAGAAGAAGACGATGAAGGTAAATTAACTTCCATCACAGAATCAGTCTACAGTAAACAGACATACAACGTTCATAAACATAACAGGAAAGAACGATGTTTTAACTCTGAATCCATAAACAAACTCGAAGCATTGAATTCCATATCACTCAAGCGAGCAGAACACACAAGTAACTCATACAAAAATAGACTTTAACTACACCACTGGCAACTGATATCAATTATATACCACATATTAACTCTATATAACCATCACCGTATAGGATTTTAATCTACCACACAGAAAACGTAAAATTTAGTCCACTTCACTTTAGGTAATTTCTTTCATCCTATACATATAAACAGTATACAAAAATCACACTATACAATACCATTTCTACATAACTCGTATAGTGTTAATTAATATAGTGTTAATTAATTCTCCTAAAGGTACCTTATAACTATCATGGTCATATATCACACTATATCTTACCATCTCTCTATAACTTCCCATACCTGTCACGTCATATTATATTAGTGTGTGAAGTTTGATCTCATAGGAGAAGCTTGGCGGTTGAAATATAGAACTGTGGTGTTAATGAAGGTAATTCTTAGTGTAGTCTCTTGGTGAGTTTTGACCCCCTGAGAGAGAGAGAGAGAGAGAGAGAGAGAGAGAGAGAGAGAGAGAGAGAGAGAGATAGATTAATTAGATAGATATATAGAAAGATAGAGATATATTGGTAGACATGATAGATGGATAGAAAGGTTGTTAGATGGATAGATACTTTGATAGATGGATGAATGAATATATACATAGATAGATGAACGTTTAACTAACTAAACATATAATTCTATATCTGTTGGGAGTAAATTTAAATTAATAGACGGGTAATTAAATAGATAATTATATAGACAGAATAACTCTCCGATGGAAATATGTTGGGTTGATATTTACACAGACAGACAGACAGACAGGCAGACAGATAGATAGTTATGTCTTCCTAAATATGGTTAGAAAATCATATTATTATTCCACTCGTCGTATGCATGTATGTGAAAATGGTAACAGACAGACAGACAGACAGAAAAGACAGACAGACATACAGACAGACAGACAGAAAAGACAGACAGACATACAGACAGACAGACAGACAGATACTTTACCTGTGGTGTTTACGTAGACTTTCCTTGCTGAACGCCTTCGGGCTCTCACAGCTGCTGCTCCGTTCAAGGTCATTCTCACTCTCCGTCTCTACCGAGCTCCGGGAACCCTGCCACCACAGTTAACCACAATGTTACAAAGCGAAGTGAGGTCAATTTAACCCGAGTCAACCAAAGTCAACCAAAATAATATGGTATGTCAAGTGGATTTAACCCGAGTCAACCAAAGTCTACCCAATGTCAAGTGGATTTAAGTAAAATGTGGGTAGTCGGGTCCGTAGAGTTATCCCATTGTTCTTCTCTACTGTGTACTGTGTCCTTTGATCCTTCAGAGATGAACTACCACTGACTGCCCGAGTTTTTATTGATCTATTCAATTCTGGTTGACTTTCCTTTATGTTTACGTTGACTCTGGTTGTGTTTCATACATTGGTTGACAATGGTTGACTCTTCTCAATATCTTAAGTCCACTTTGTATATTTTCCTTCATATTTTACTTAATTTCTATTGACACCCCTTATTATTTTGGTAGACTTTGGTTGACTTAAAGAGATCATTTCACGTTTTATATTTTTCAAGTTACAGTTACTCATAAATGAACATATATTTGTTATAATTAAATGGACCGGAATATACTGAATCACTAGATGTGCAAAAGTATTTTTTAACTTTAATTCATTTAAATAACAGCTTAATGAGGCTACGCTGGCTACTCAATTTTCAGTAAAGTGTAATATGTTGACAACACTCTTGAATAAATCCTGTTAAATCCCCTAATTAACAAATGTTATATATCAAGAACGACCTATATTAACATTTTATGATCATAAATCCCCCCAAATCTCCCACACGTCACATGTGCATATAATCCTAAAAAAAATATAATATAACAACTTTCACAATAATTAAGTTAAGTTTAATAATGATACACTGACCTAAGTCCCTCCTTTTACTGTACACTCTAGTATTACAACAACACACTGGACATAATCCTACTGTCTACATTATTTATGGGTAAATCCTACAACTGTACCAATTAAAAATATTTAAAACAAGAAAAACCTGACTTTAACACGACCTGGTGTGTACATCAGTCAAGAAAGAGAATGAATTAAATTATTATTATTATTATTATTATTATTATTATTATTATTATTATTATTATTATTATTATTATTATTATTATTATTATCATTGACCATCGTAATCAGAGAAGTAAAACATCATCCTGGTAAACAATCATTCTAAGAGAGTTAAAGCATTATCTTCACTGGGTTAAATCATCCCCAATAAGGTACACTCGCCACCCGTGAACTACTGTAGCCTGTATTGTAGATCTAACTCTGTATTTATACTTCTAAACAATCTACACTATTCAATAAGAGCATTATTCAATCATTCTTCAGTAGTATCATCTACATTATTCTGTAGCCCATTACCAAGGTCATGAATATGTACTAATAACGTATACATGAGAGAGAGAGAGAGAGAGAGAGAGAGAGAGAGAGAGAGAGAGAGAGAGAGAGAGAGAGAGAGAGAGAGAGAGAGAGAGAGAGAGAGGGGGGGGGGATACTCACCAGGCTAACTTGTCTTGCTCTAGGTGAGTCGGGAGGCGGGGAACCCTGTGCCAAGCTGTACATGTCCCTCGGGGAGCCTGGGAGCCCCGTCTGTACGGCCGGCTGGATCCCCAGCATGCAGTAGGGGTCGCTGAAACCTGCGAGGACAACACCTGAATTAGATAATGGACCTTGGAGGGGAAAGGGATCACTCCTGTTTCTGGAGTCGGGGAGGAGCACAACTGTAGTAGTCTATGAACCTGAGAGAACGTCTTCCACTCCTACTGAAGCATCTCCAGGAACTCTTCTTATTGGTTCACCTGCTGCAGGAGTCAGCGAGGAGCACATCCGAATAAGCCTCCACACCTTATGAACACGTCTGCTGAAGCCACATCCAATTTTTCTGAAGAAGTTTTTGAAATAAAAATTGAACATAATAACTGAAGGACCAATGTATGCGCCTTGGGGAACGCCAGCTGCTGCTGCGTTCTCGTCTCCGGCGGTAACTTTTGAAATGGAAAGTTGAGGCTGAAATTGAAAGGAAAATTCAATCAATGAAACTTCAGAGATTATTACCCTTGTTGCTGAATCCACACCAGTAACTAGCGAAAAGTGAAAGATGAGCTTGAAATTGAAAGGATATTCAATTAATGTAATGAGAAACCTTATTGCCCTCCTAACTTTTATGAAATTGAAAGCCATTCAATCCGTACTCCTTAGTAGAGACGCCGGATGCCTCAAGGATCACCATCACAGGTACACATCACAGGTACACATCACAGGTACACAGGTATACACAATCAGAGCTCAAAATAGGGCGTTTAAAGTACTGTTTTGGCAGATTGTAATTAAGAGTACGATGTTATTAAGCTTATGCCATCGAAATATTATCTTCCTGGTTGTTGAAGTAAGGTTAGGTTAGGTTAGGTTAGTGAGTCAGACTAGGTTAGGTTAGGTTAGTTAAAGTTAAGTTAGGTCAGATAAGTTAGGTTATTTAGGTTTGGTTGGTTAGATTAGGTTAGGCTAGTTAAGTTAATTAGGATACAGTAGGTTAGATTAGTTTGGTTAGTTAGGTTTGGTTACGTTAATTAGGTTGGGTTAGATTAGGTTAGGTGAGTTAGGTTAGGTTAGTTTAGGTTAGTTGGGTCTGGTTTAGTTAATTAGGTTTGGTTAAATAGGTGTGGTTAGGTTAGTTAGGTTAGGTCAGTTAGGTTAAGTTAAGCTAGGTAAGGGGTTAGGTTAGGTTAATTTCGCTTAGTTCGATTAAGTTTGCATATTTTAAATTAGGATTGGTTAAGTAAGGATTGATTAAGTAAGGCTTAGTTAAGAAGGATTGGTTAAGTATGGATTAGTTAAGTAAGGATTTGGTTAAGTAAGGATTGGTTAAGTATGGATTTGTTATGTAAGGATTAGATAAGTAAGGATTGGTTAAGTATGGATTAGTTAAGTAAGGATTGGTTAAGTAAGGATTGGTTAAGTATGGTTTAGTTAAGTAAGGATTGGTTAGGTAAGGATTGGTTAAGTATGGATTAGTTAAGTAAGGATTGGTTAAGTATGGATTAGTTAAGTAAGGATTGGTTAAGTAAGGATTGGTTAAGTATGGATTAGTTAAGTAAGGATTTGTTATGTAAGGATTAGTTAAGTAAGGATTGGTTAAGTAAGGATTGGTTAAGTAAGGATTGGTTAAGTAAGGATTGGTTAAGTAAGGATTGGTTAAGTAAGGATTGGTTAAGTAAGGATTGGTTAAGTAAGGATTGGTTAAGTAAGGATTGGTTAAGTAAGGATTTGTTATGTAAGGATTGGTTAAGTAAGGATTGGTTAAGTAAGGATTGGTTAAGTAAGGATTTGTTAAGTAGGGATTGGTTAAGTATGGATTAGTTAAGTAAGGATTGGTTAAGTAAGGATTTGTTATGTGAGGATTAGTTAAGTAAGGATTGGTTAAGTAAGGATTGGTTAAGTAAGGATTGGTTAAGTAAGGATTTCTTATGTAAGGATTAGTTAAGTAAGGATTAGTTAAGTATGGATTTGTTATGTAAGGATTAGTTAAATAAGGATTGGTTAAGTATGGATTAGTTAAGTAAGGATTGGTTAAGTAAGGATTTGTTATGTAAGGATTAGCTAAGTAAGGATTGGTTAAGTAAGGATTGGTTAAGTATGGATTAGTTAAGTAAGGATTGGTTTAGTAAGGATTGGTTAAGTAAGGATTGGTTAAGTAAGGATTTGTTACGTAAGGATTGGTTAAGTAAGGATTTGTTATGTAAGGATTGGTTAAGTATGGATTAGTTAAGTAAGGATTGGTTAAGTAAGGATTGGTTAAGTAAGGATTGGTTAAGTAAGGATTAGTTTAGTATGGATTAGTTAAGTAAGGATTGGTTAAGTAAGGATTGGTTAAGTAGGGATTGGTTAAGTAAGGATTGGTTAAGTAAGGATTAGTTAAGTAAGGATTGGTTAAGTAAGGATTTGTTATGTAAGGATTGGTTTAGTATGGATTAGTTAAGTAAGGATTTGTTATGTAAGGATTAGTTAAGTAAGGATTAGTTAAGTATGGATTAGTTAAGTAAGGATTGGTTAAGTAAGGATTGGTTAAGTATGGATTAGTTAAGTATGGATTTGTTATGTAAGGATTAGTTAAATAAGGATTGGTTAAGTATGGATTAGTTAAGTAAGGATTGGTTAAGTAAGGATTGGTTAAGTAAGGATTGGTTAAGTAAGGATTGGTTAAGTATGGATTAGTTAAGTAAGGATTTGTTATGTAAGGATTGGTTACGTAAGGATTAGTTAAGTATGGATTAGTTAAGTAGGGATTGGTTATGTAAGGATTGGTTAAGTAAGGATTTGTTATGTAAGGATTAGTTAAGTAAGGATTGGTTAAGTAAGGATTAGTTAAGTATGGATTAGTTAAGTAAGGATTGGTTAAGTATGGATTAGTTAAGTAAGGATTTGTTACATAAGGATTGGTTAAGTAAGGATTTGTTATGTAAGGATTAGTTAAGTAAGGATTGGTTAAGTATGGATTAGTTAAGTAAGGATTAGTTAAGTAAGGATTGGTTAAGTATGGATTAGCTAAGTAAGGATTTGTTATGTAAGGATTGGTTAAGTATGGATTAGTTAAGTATGGATTGGTTAAGTAAGGATTAGTTAAGTATCTTCCAAATAATTATGTTCTGATATCTTAACTTTATTTATCCGAAATGGCTAACTTAAGGTATTATATCCTATCGTATCGTAACGTATCGTATCGTACCGTATAGTAACGTAACGTATCGTACCGTAACGTATCGTATCGTATCGTATCGTATCGTATCGTATCGTATCGTATCGTAACGTAACGTATCGTATCGTACCGTATAGTAACGTAACATATCGTACCGTAGCGTAACGTAACGTATCGTATCGTATCGTAATGTATCTCATCGTAACGTATCGTATCATATCGTATCGTGTCGTATCGTATCGTATCATAACGTATCGCAACGTATAGTATCGTAACGTATGAGAACAAAACACAACATACAAAAATCAGAAATCCGATTAAAATGAAGAACATGAAAAGTGAAGAAAACTGGATAACTATGACTGTAAAATTATCAATAAAATCTTCGAAAATCGGGAGATAAATTTTTTTCTTGGAATCGATACTGGGAATGTATTATTAAGAATATATTACCGGGAATAAGTTAATGGTACTGGGAATTTGAAAATAGGAATAGATTAATAAAAAAATGGTATTGAGAATGTTATACTGGGAATTTGAATCTGGTAATGGGAATAGCTTGACATAGGGAATATCAGTGAATGTGGTAGTGTTTATGTGAGATTTTGGGGGAATCATTAATCTGGAATGGGTCGTTAGGAATGGGTTCTCAACTATTGTAATATTCAGAATAGCATACTAAGAATACTTTACTATATTCGTACCGACATATCAAGAAACTACGCTAAGTAACACCTCATGGCACAAACATATCGGCAAACTCTCGCACCACAACGAAGTCCTAACTCTGGACAGTGGCACCCTTCAAGTCGGTCTCAGGAGCAGTGAGGGTACAGTACATTACCTTAACCGTAAAATTAGGCACCCATTCACACCTGGGTGGACTAGAGGTGCCCCGAAGTGTAGCAAATGGCGGAAACTATTAATTATCTTCTCGTTCGAGGTAAGGAAAACCCCCAAATAGGCGTAATTCTTAATTTTAATGGCACTAGATACGAATTATTGAACTGATCTGACACGGTTATTGTACGAGGTGTGGTTGTAGTGTTTCCCTGTATGGTCGAGATATAGTGTTTACATCTCCTGGACGAATGGATAGACGGACGGACGGACTGTCGGATGGTCGGAAAGTACTGTATACATACCTTGGTTAACCTTCATGTACGACGGAGGATAAGAATATGGATGGATGAATAAAAATGAGAGAAGGAATTAAGAGAAAAAACATGAAAGAAGAAGACGAAGAAGAAAAATACAAAGGAAATACAAAAGAATATACGAGAAGAAGGAAAAGAAGAAAGCTATTACAGTCAGTAAAGTACAAGAGACACTGTAGAGAGTTGTTGTCGTGGGTGTCATCAGGACGGCAGTATACTTGTTATACCTCAACACCAGACTATAGAACTGTACTCACTAAAGTGCCTTCCTTGTGTGTGTGTGTGTGTGTGTGTGTGTGTGTGTGTGTGTGTGTGTGTGTCTGTGAAAATCTCTTTTTTATCCAAATTCAAAACACTCTTTTTTTCTATATACTTCACTATGTATTTTTTTGAAGGTTGCCTGACTAATATTTGAACGTAAATCAAATATATTTTCATGGCTTTTATATGCCTGTTGGCGCAAATCAGTGAGAGCAACAAGGACATATCTGCACAGATACTACTTCTAATATATATATATATATATATATATATATATATATATATATATATATATATATATATATATATATATATATATATATATATATATATCTATATTTATGCAAGTAAATCATTGTAGGTGCGCGTGATCTAGGTATATGCTGATAACCACAAGGAAAGAAGAAAACACGAAGTTCCCAAGCGCTTTCGTGTAATTCACGACCTCATCGAACTCATCAAACTATGTATTAAGGATTGCAAATTTGAATTAAATGAAGAATATTATGCTCAAAAATTTGGCATG